TGAGGTTGGTGCAAAAAAAAGAACCTTACTAAACCTTTTTGGTGACACATCTTCAAATGGGATAAAAGTCAAAGAAAAGAAACACACAGAGAGAAACAAAAGACAAAGAAACAAGTTGGAGAGCTGGCCAGAGCAGAAGTCTGGTAAAACAGCAGAAATACATCCCGCTCTCAGTGGGTTGAATTGATTGTGATTACTCAGACAACAGCATGTGTGATGGAGCACACAGCGCCTATATCAGGGAGGGGGAAAAAAAAAAAACAAGAAGAAAGGAACAGGGAGAAAGGCACGTACGAAGTCACCTGTCTCTGCAGCCAGTCTCTTCTGACCCCTCTGTCCAAAATGTGGATGAAGTCACCTGGTTCCTTTCTTTATAAAACAAAAAAGACCTCACACACATACAGCACAGCTATGTCTGCAACTATCTGGCTGCATTAGCACATTTATAATGGCCTGGTTTGATTTCTCAGAGGACCAGAGGGCAGATTGAACAAGGCTTTCACACCTGGTACCCCAAGAATCAAGACACAATCTCATATTTCTCTGTCTGCATTTGTGCAGGCTTGAAAACAAAATTGAGTTTTTCTCAAGAAAGGAATATCTCAGATCTACTAAACGCCTCATAAATGTTTAAAGTAAGCAGAGACACATTTTTATCTCTCTAATGTAGGAATTCAGGTGTACATATCTCTGTGTGTGCTTTCGCCTGAGGCTCAAATAGTGCTGAGCACTCAGATGGAGACAGAGGGGGGGGAAAAAGGAATGTCAGAAACTAGAGAGAGATGATGTCTGCTGCTCCCATCAAAAGGTGTTTGAAGGTGTATTAGGATTCGGGTTGGAGTGCAGAGAAGATGGTGTGCGTGTGGATGTGTGGTAGGCAGAGAAGCGGGGGGGGGGATGCAGCTGAAATTGGACCATGGCTCTCCTTTCCACGCAGTCACTCAAACAGACCTGGATGCCGCACATTCCGCCTGATCCCGGTTGTTAGTTTTTCAAGGGGGAGCCGCTCAGGATAAGGATTTGAAGGTTAATTCAAAGAACACAAACCAGTGTGAGAGCAAGGCGACCGTTCATGGAGATGTCAGCATCCTTCCTGTAGTTGGTTCCCCTGGCAACCGAAGGTCTGAGCCTGCACAAAACAAAATCTCTCTCTGTTCTTAATGTTCGATCTTCTTTTAGAAAGAACTAGGTCAGCCAAACAATCACTAAAACCCAAATGTTGGAACATTTCCTAAAATAAGAAGGTAAATGCCTCAGATATGAGTTTTGAGATCTCTAAAATACTCTTTTTGTATTCTTTCAAAAAGGGTTATGACCTCTAAGTCATGTTGAGATCTAGCAACTGTCAGTTTATTTACCAATACGAATATGTCTGACTCTGCACAGCGACTCTATGAACCTAAAGCCTGCAGGAAGGTCACAGTTCATCTTGTGTGTTGCCGCTACAACAGGAAGAGCATCCCAGTGAAGTGGACTGGGACAGAGCTATTAGGTTATGATACGGGGTTGAACTTTAATCCCAAACATAACGTTTGCACTTTCAGAGAGATATTCGAGATGCATTTAACCACGTCGGTGTTTTGTATAATATGTTTTGGTTTAAGCAGCGTTTCAAATGTCAAACGAGAACTGTGTAAGCAGCCCACTCAGCTCAACTAAGTTATATCAGGCTTGGCGTTTTAGTCTTGGATCTATTTCTGTGGAAGAGATTTTCTGCCCACACAGCTGTGCTCTATTTAGGAAAACATCAGAATAATATGCATAATCTAGATGTTTGCTGGCATTCATTTGCTTGTTTTCAAAAACTCTATTGTGGAGCTAGTGTTGTAATTACAAGCATCGCTCACAGTTTGTGGATAACGCTCTTAACTAGAGCCCCCTTTCTCCCCCCTGTAAGTGGAGAAAAGTTGCAGCAAATTTAGGAGAAAAATAACATTTAAAGTTTTTACTGCCTAAGAATTATTGAGATTAGTGATCTGACTCTCTTGCACAATCGATATGCAGCCACTTTGGCTTCGTTACGGCATAAAACCCTTTTAGTGTTTCAGTTTGAGAGTGATATTCAGAGCTGGCTGTTGTGTTTATGCTCCCTTCAACACCTTTTAGGGGAGTTATGTTAGATAGGGCACGCTGATGAGATAGTACATATTATTTGGGTTATGAGAGTGAAAACTGAGAATCTTTTTTTTACAGAAAGTATAAAGGTTTCAGTATCTGAAAATGTGTTGGATACCTCATTATTGGAGTACCGGTATGTAAATTTGAGAAAAATGGCTTCATTAATCTGTAACCTGTGCAGAGTAATTTCGTCAAGGGGGGCATTTAAAATTGTTGTCAAAAGATTGTTTTCACTAATGAATAAGAATAGCTATTCCCAGACTTAGGTTTTTTTTTGTTTTGTTTTTTTGTTTTAGTTCAGGAAGGTCTGAATGGTTGTTTGCAATGAACAACAGATGAAAAAAAATATAATCCAGATTAATAAAAAAAAACAACTAAACTGTTAAGGCTGGAAATGATGAAGGGTGTGCTTTGGTGGCGCAGTGGTTAGCGCACATGAACCGTGTACAGAGGCCTTAGTCCTTGACGCGGCTGACCTGGGTTTGAATTTGACCTGTGGTCCTTTGTGCATGTCTTTCTCGCTTTGACCCCCTTTCCTGTCAGCCTACTGTCATTAAAACCGCCCCGGAAAAAAAAGGTTAGAAACAACACCTGGTAGAATTTAACTTGCCGTACTCTCTGTGTCATTCAGCTCCTGTTTCTCAGCACTTCTTATTTTTTATTAAGTGCCCAAACTGCTTTTCTCCCTCTACTTTTGAACCAATACAAGCTATTGGTTCCAAATAGTGATTAACACTACCTCAGAGAGTTAATCAATCTCTCTGGAGCTGAGCTGGTCCTCAAACAGACACTGATCTGGAGGAAACCCAGCAGAGACAGATTGTACGTCCTGTAGTAACCTAAGAAGTACACGTTCCACCAGAGCAGTGGTCATCTTTTTAACCGGAGCTTCCAAAAAATGGTGACTAATGGCCCAAACTATTGGAAGTGTACTATCGGCCCAAGGTTTTTCTGCATGGAGTTTGCATGTTCTCCCTGACCATGAGTGGGTTCCCTCCGGGTACTCCGGCTTCCTCCCATAGTCCAAAAACACGACTGTTAGGTTAATTAGCTTCTCTAAATTCTTGTTAGGTGTGAGTGTGTGCGTGAATGGTTGTCTGTCCTGTTTGTCTTGGTGTAGCCCTGAGATGGACAGGCGACCTGTCCAGGGTGTACCCAGTCTTTCGCCCAATCACTGCTGGAGATCGGCACTGGCCCTACCGCGACCCCAGCTGGGATAAGCGTGAAGGAAAATGGATGGATGGATCAACAATCAAAGCCATTTTTAAATAACCTTTGAGCACTAAAACATATTTATTTTGTAATGTAATTCAGTGGTGGATCTAATAGACCTCCTACTGGTTGTTCAAGGACTCCAAATGGGGTCACGACCCCAACTTTTACAATCAATGTTTTGCACTGCTACCATTTTGTCTGCCGTTAGTGTGCCTAATCTTAAAAATGAGACGGAAAAATGAGCTTGCAAATAAACAATCAGCAGGGTTTTTCACCAGTACATTTGACTAAAAAAAGTGTCAAATTGCTCTTAATTGGCTTAGCAGCAGAGGAAACTGGGTTTTCAAACACATTTACCTCCTTACACATTAGAAAGATGTCTTTTCAGGACAGTGAGTCAGCGCTATAAAAATCATGGACCACCTGCCCTCTCTGGGAGCTTCAGACTATTTCATGGATTCACTCACCCTGAGTGCACTTAGGCTGGTGATCATGTATGCTCTCACCTCAGCAGCAGACAGAGAGAAGAGTCTTTAAAGGCCAGCTGAGAGGGTCCGGGTTCAGAAGGATTACCAAACGACTGGTCTGTCAACTTGCAAATAAATGTGAATATGAAGAATGCAAAGAAATATGATATTTTTGTATTAAGGGGACAATTGAACGCTGCCTAACATGGAGAAAATAATAGAAATAGAAACTGGATAAAATAAAATAAAATATGTTTTTCTCCAGCAGATCAGGCAGGATCATCAGGGCTTGTACGGGTTTAGCGTCAGGAAAAAGTAATCTAAACCATCTGCAGATCACACCTTCCTGGAGACTTTTTCCTTTAGAGCGGAGCTACAGACGCTATTTAGGAAATCCAGCTTCACCAGAGAAACCTCCCCTAGTTTGGCAATCTGATGAACATCTAACAGTTGAAGGCAATCATCCATCCAACCATGTCTTCCTCTTTTCTAAAAACATTTTTATTCACATATTTACTAAGCAACTTCTATTTCCTTTTTTATACTTTTATTTGAAAGGTTTTCACTGAGAGCAAATTTGATCTCTTTATGTGAAAAACTTGGCCAGTGGAGCTGATTCAGATTCATTTGCTCCCCCGATGGGCAGATAGCCCTATAATAAACTCCGTATTTTCCACCTCTAAGATCAAAATCGAGAAATCTTTTTACATTTTTTTTTATCAATGATAAAACCTGACAAGTCAACAAGGTTACAAATGTGGTCTGAACAGAAATAGGTTTCATATACAACTTAATTCACCACAACTCGCTGAAATAATTCATCAGGAGATACCAGTAAAATTACTGTGTATTTCGGAGTATAAGCTGCTACTTTTTTCCAACGCTTTGAACCATGCAGCTTATAAGACGGTGCAGCTTTCTGTGGATTTTTCCTAACCTCCAGAGGGGGAATTCAAAGTTGGAAACGAAACAATAAGGGGATTATTTTTGATTTAACACAAGAACATGCTAGCGGCAGGCACGACGGAGAATAAATGTCTCGTATTCACAATTTTTTTACATTTATTTGCCACATTAAAGCTCTGGAATATGGTAACCTCTAAGTATATAAAAGCATGAGAAACATTAGCTAAAGGCTAAGCCTTAATTACCAAACTGTTTGATTCATCACCTGTTCATTTTGTTACTTTCTGCTTCCAGGTGTCGTTCTTTCTGTTCATTGTGTTTGTGGTGTACACCATGCTGCCCTTCACCATGAAATGGGCCATCATCGCCAGCGGTATAACCTGCCTCTCACACACCGTCACCCTCAGCATCTGCCTGACCTCCACCGTCACAGAGCTGGAACCTCTAGTGTGGCAGGTAAGACGGGTATTTGAGCCCACAGGTCAGCCGTACTCAGGAAATCACCTTTTTAAAGAGCTTTCTGCCTCGTCTGCAGATGTAGTGACCCTGTTATGGGTTGTGCCATTTGGGTCTGTTTAACACCTGAACGGTTGCGCTGCTGCTCCATTAGCTGGATCTCAGGTCAGACGGGTTAGCTTTTCTAAACAGAGCGCTGACCGTAGTCTCTACATATCTAAAAATGGTGAAAAATATTTTATTGAGGTATCGTTCATTAAATAGCCACAAACTCTGGACCATCCTGACACAGTACAGTCAGACACAAAGTCATCTCCACCATTAAATCTGCAAGCCTCAATAAAAATCAAGATAAGGAGTAAAATTGATTGTGCATCACTGCATTTCTGAAACTGGTACCTACTGTCAAACACATACAAGCTGTGTAATCAAGCATCACAGTGAACACACTGATAGGGCTCTTATCACAGTGGCTCTTTTCAGTCTTGATCACACACAGACGCATTAGAAATGTACACTGACAATAAAACCCATCAAAGACGTTCATTACCATGGGATATGGCACCAAGGAAGATCTATTGATTCGCTCATTCACGTTTTGAAGAGTTTGAGGTTAAAATAGTGAGAAAAAGCTAGCAGAGAGTTTATTCTCACCTGCTTTTGTGAGGTGATAATAATGGTGCATAAGTGGAAGGCAGAGCAAAGGTAAAATTTTAGCTACAGGCATAAATGCAATGGCGTAACGACACAACAATAGGCCCGTAAGCAACATTACAACACGTGATAAAGGTTCAGGATACGGCGATAGGATACAATTATGCAATTCTCAGTAGTATATGATCAGACATCAAACACAAAAATATTGTGACTGTGCACCTTAAATGGAACCACTGGTGACAGGGCGACACCAAATGTTACAGACATCCAAAGTTCTTATAAAACCCCACCCCGGCGTAGACAACCGACCCGAAATGTGCCCCATACATTCACACTTCATCATTCTTGACCTTCACTAGACATGGATATACTTTAGTACTGTATATTCAGCTGTAAAATGAGTCTTATTGGGCTACCTTGAGCTTCACAGCCCCCCTCCTCACCCATGCTCTCTCCATTCATCTCCTGTTCGCAATCTTTACCTCTTCGTCTTCGGTTCTTTGAAAGAACGTGTTTATTTTGGGAAGTTTTTTCCGTTCTTCCAGCAGCTCTTCTTTCCTTTTTTCTTTTCTAGAATCCACTTAAGTACCTCTTTTTGGTATCCATCGTCGCTAACACACGCTAACGGTTATGGTTTTAATTTACGCTCTAGGTTACCCATAATTTCAAGTCGTAGTGTAAAAAATAAAATACTAAAATACATTGTTCTTTGAAGATCTTAATTGCAGTTTGAAACATATATGAGGGTATTTTTTACGAGCCATCTAATGACCTATACACAGTTATTAACATAGTAATTAAAAGTACCACTGTCTGCTTTGCTATGGGTGTCGTGTTTAAACTGCTCACCATCACGTTGAAATCCGGCATGTGTTGCAGTATAAATATGGTCCGGTGCGATCAGTCTCCTCAGCATCAGGTGGGTTTAAGAGGAATTTTTCGCACCATTACATCTGCAAAGAGACGTCCTAGCTGAGAATTGTGTAGGGGCCAAACAGGTGTCAGAGATTGGGACCCTAAGAGGTTGTGGGCCCATAAGCAACTGGTGTCTCTGCTTACTGATATTTACACCATAGCATAAATGGATTGTTTTCTAACATTTAATTGCTGCTATCTTGATGTATATATGGTTTGCTTTGCAGATTCTGGCCAATGTGATCATCTTCACCTGTGGAAACCTGGCCGGGGCGTATCATAAGCACCTCATGGACCTGGCGCTCAAACAGACCTATCAAGACACCTGCAACTGCATCAAGTCCCCCATCAAACTGGAGTTTGAGAAGCATCAACAGGTTCAAAGTCTTAAAGCACAGATTTAAGCAAATGTTTTCCTTGGAATGGGGTGATATGAGAATGTAAAAGTTGGTGCAAAACATAGGTTCTACAACTTTTCTCTGAATTTTCTTTAATGTCTAAACTCAAAACTCAGTAGGGCATTATCACCTGGTATTGCTAACAATATTTAGCACAATAATAGTGCAATACAATAAATCCCTTATGTTTGACGACTTGTGGTTAGAAAGGTAATTCAGTAGGTTGTGATATAATTAAAACATCCAAGCTCAAAAATGCAATAGGAGTTTTAATGCTGTTAGCTGGCTGCTTGTGAGAACTGGTGTTGCCACCCGTCGCTTGAAATACGGAATCGTCCCGTATTTGGAAGTTAAATTATGCGTCCCGTATTGAACTGATAAGGGACACAATTTGTTCCTTATTTTCACGGATAATAAAAAAAAACTGTAACATTGGTGTCACTTGCGCACAAAACAACCCTACTGTTGCGAGAGTGACTCATGTCTGCGTGTCCCGATTCTCTCTCCCTCCCTCTCGTAGCTTGAGTTCTACTGTTCTTGATTCACCTTCCCCTTATGACGTTGTGTGTCTAAAGCATTCTCCACTCAGTAATCTCTCTTCTTGGGGCGTTTTTCATGGTTTCCTGGTGACGGCCCTCATGTTTAGTTCTAGTTCTACAAACTGCGCACGCCAACTCGAAGCATCTATTGAAACATTATTCATTACAAATGCCCAGCTGACCTGCTCAAGTACATTTAAGCAAGTACGTAGAACTTTATACATGAATACCACTAGTCAGAAAACTTTTTTCTTGTGTTGTGTTTTCCTTTAACTATTTAGCCTATCTGAAGAGAAAGGGAGGGAGAGAGAGATGCCAAACAGCGGCTGTGCTGATCTGAATAACCATACATCCATCATGAACTTGCAGAGTGGTTTTCAAATTGGGGGCAAGAAACCTTGGGGGGCCACAGCAGGTTGGCAGGAAAAATATAGCACAACAAAGTGAGTCACTTAATAAACTGGGTAACTAGCAACCAAAATAAACCAAAAATAAGCACACAAAAAAAACATTAATATAATACCGGTAATCTTCCCTATAGTCTAAAAACATTCTACCAGGCCAAGCATGCCATTGGTTTTAGGAGGGGATTTCTGTGTGCGATGATACTGTGCAGACTTAACATTTCCATTTTTTAATTATTTTGATTGGCTGTAGCTAATTGCAAGAAATACAAGCCACACTCAGAGAACAAAATAAAATAATGGTTCTGTGTTGAGCTGAAACGGGACACAATCTGGTTAAAATGCAGGAAATTGCAGGAATTTGCATCAAAGAAATACAAAATTTTCGACAATGAAGTTTCTCTACAACCAGAACGTACCTTATTTCCATTTCTGAAAGGTGGCAACCCTAATGAGAACTGGTATTTATCTGTATTGATTATAACTCAAGAAATATTGTATGTTACTCTAAGTGTTACTAGTAGCTTTCATGATAAATATAAGCTCCATATGTGCAAATGCAAGGCCTTACAGCCCCGCACCCTCACAAGCAGCTAACCAGAAAGGGGTCCCTGCCTACTTTTCCTCAATAATAATCCTTATAAAAATGTAACCATATTTTTCTTTGTTGCCAATTTGCTCTCCTTCAATGTTTTGTCACAGAAGAGAAGTTGGTAGGTCAGCCATGTCTTAAGTGGCATTTTGCAGTGACATTTGCTTGACATTAACGTCTTTGTCCTGACATTAGGCATTCTTCCCGACCAGGGAAGTGACATATAATATTACACTAATAATTGATGGTCTGCTCAGAGGTGGTTCGCTGTGATGACCTTTTTTTTTTTTTTTTACAGTAAATGTCTAGCCCTTAATGATGACGAAATGAGTAATTCTCCTGTCCTAATTCAAGTTGAAACTGCTGATTTATACTCTAGTTATACAGCAGACGTAATACATGCAATTATAGCATAATTTCATTGGAAATCTGTGACACCCTAAAATGCAAATCAAATCTGTTTTTTTGTGCCGTGTTTCTGGCATATGTTTCTCGGTAACAGTTTGTGTGGGAAGGAGTGTGGTCATGTCAAAGTTTGTGTCCATGCAAGCAAATGCCAGTTCATAACTTCACAGGGCCAAATCTCGTTCAACAGCTGAAGTCTTATTATGGGGTATGTGGGAACAAGTCTTATTAGTTCATTAATCAAACACAAAATTAATAACACCACACTTCCTCAGGCTGCTATAACCCATTCTGCATACTCTGTTCAAACTGTTTCAGTGCTGAATAAGTAAATAAAAGAGGATGGCATGCCTTTCTATTTATAGTGCACCCCCAACTACAGCCCCTCTCCAGACTCAATTTGCTGCTGTGTTTTAGGAAATGAGCCCATGGTGTGTGAACAGTGTAATGACCCTCTTTACTGTGAGCTGCAGTTATGACTCACATAAATGTGCGTGATTGCATGTGCACGTTGCACGCTCTTGCCACCCTCACGCGCACATGCAGTGCAGCACACATGCTCTCCCACCTGACCACACACACCTAAATTAAGCCTGAACAAATACATCTGAAGCTTAATTACAGCAAAATGTGTACCATAGTTGATTAATATGTCTTATTAAATGCTGTAGGTATTTAGGTCTTTTAGAATACCAAAACGAAGAATCTTCTTGTACACAAAATGACAATAAAGTTAGTCTAAGTCTTTGTTACAATCATGTACTAGCAAGACTAAATCCCACATGGTGTAAAGGTAGTAACCAAATAGATGGGCATACAATTCAATTCAATTCAGTTTATTTATATAGCACCAATTCACAACACATGTCATCTCAAGGCACTTTAAAGTTCACCAGATCATACAGTCAAATTGATTCAAAAATTTCTATCTAAGGAAAAACCAGTTGATTGCATCGACTCTTTGACTTGAATGCAATCCCTCACACTTAGCATGCTTGTAGCGACAGTGGAGAGGAAAAACTCCCTTTTAACACAAATGAGTTAAAACCATTCACTGTCGTTACATGTTAACTGTTTATATATATACACACATATATAGAAATGACATCCTCCACTATACCTTTAACTTTAAAAAAAATAAATAACTTTTTACGGCTTAGTGGTCAGGGCATAGGGCTTGGAATCCTGAGGTTGTGAGTTTAAAACCCACTCCCACAGACTGCCAATCTGGGCACTGCACAATGGCAGCCCACTGCTCCCCAAGGGGATTGGTTAAATACAGAGAGTTAATTTCATTGTGCTGTACTTGTGACAGTATAATGACAATAAAAAGGCTGGGGGGGAAAAAAAAAAAGTAAAACAAAAAAATGTATTTGAAATGTATAAGAATGGTTTTAAACATTTCTTCAACAGTTAGCTCTGTGACAAGTTCCTTAAAATATTATTTAAAACTGCTTTAAGAATATTGAAAGGCATTAAAGAGGAATTGAATGTTAAATTAGATTCTCTGTGAATTATTATTATTTTTTGGATACCTTTTAATTTGAAATTTTGTCCTTTGCATTTAAATCATTTATTTATTACCATTCTGGGTTTTTAAGCAAGGACACCACCTTAAATTAGGGCAAATTTTAGAACAGAAAGATTTGCATGAAGGTAATTGGATTTACATAAAAAAGAGAATAGGGCTTTTTGAGTTACTTTAAAAAGGCCTTTAGATGACATAGATCAGTGGTTTTCACTTTAACAATTAGCCTTTAAACTTACGGAGGAAAAAGGTTTGCTGTGGGATAAATGTCTGTGTTAAATGACTGCAATTTTTGCATTTTAAATGATGAAATATGATAGCTAAAATACATTATTTGCAGAGTCCCTCCAGCTATGACCTAAACCTTTTTATCTAAGTTAGGAGGTTTATTAAAAGCTTCTGTTTGCAGCTGACTCGAACTTTTCATGTCATAGTTCTGAAATAATATAAAAACGAAAAGTGGTCTATGAAATGAAAGGCAAGTATTGCTTTTTAAAACCTCATAAAACAAAAATAAACTGTTCAGTATCCTCACAAGGACGATAAAATTTTATTCCTTTTGAATGGAGTTTCATTCAGAAGGGTATTTGAGGTCATTTGAGTATAAACTGGTTTTAAAACTAAAATAAGCCAAACTGAAACAAGGTCATTAATCCAATAGTGAGTAAAAGTAGTAGTTTGACAAATACATTAAAAAGCTTAATGTGATCAAATAAACTTTTTTGTTTGTTAAAATTTGAGGCAATTTAAAGGCCAACATTGGATTTTGTTTTCTCTACAAATGCTGCTCGCAAAGTTGCTCAGTTGATCTAATCATAAATTAAGCTTAATTAAAATATCAATAAGGATTAACTGAGTTTTCCTTTGTCGACACTTTACCACAAGAGAAACTGATTATTTAGTTTTCTCCATTCAAGCAGGAACATCTTTCAGTGTATGGAGCAAAATTATGTGACAATCTAAGCACTGGTTAGAAAAGAACATTGAAGAAAGACGTCACCTCCCCTGAGTTTACCGGCAACCTGTTTGCTTCTGGTGGGACGAAGGTTTTTCAGAATGTGGGTGGAAAGAAGGAATAGCTGGAGCAAACCCACGCAGGCACTAGAACATGCAAACTACCCATAGAAACATCCATGTAGCCGAGGCTCCGACCAAGGACGTTTCTGCTCTGAGGCAACCGTGCAAAGAAACACCACTCTACCACCTGGATTTCTATTTTCTTGTATATTGAGCCTCACATATCTTGATCTATGACTCATTCCAAGCATAATAAAAGCACCCCAGGCATGAAAGAGTGTTGCAAATTCTAAAGAGTTGAAAAAAAAAGGAAGAAATGATTGGGTTGGCAGCAGACAGTGTATCTGTTAGTGATGTGGTTAAGGTACATGTGGAGAAAACATGTGTCTCCCTGCAGAATTTCAAGAGTGAAGGAGGAGATAAGGACTTCTGCGCAAAGGTTTCTTAATTAATAACAAAAGGCCACCAGAAACGCTACAGTTCTGCACACTTCCTCACATCGCACTAAAAGCTTAGCTTTCTCCTTGCCTTAGGCAGGGGTCAAGATGATTTTAAGTGAGGTAAGAATTAATATTAAAACTAGGAAAAAAATACATTTTCCTTTGGTTTCGACCCTAATTACTGGGAGATAATGAAACAATCTGAGTGTGGAGGAAAATAGCCCTGTCTTCGTCTAATGTTTGCCTCCAGTTCTTCCTGATAAATTAACCCTAATAAGCCATCTTAAAAGGAGACTCAATAATGGACCTATATTTAGGAGGTTGAATAATAGAAATTTAAAATGATGTGAGCTGAATATAAATTAGAATTAAGATATCAAATGGATTCTTTTGTGGTGGGTTTTAATGTACATGTTATAAAAATAGCTGAAAGCATTTGTCCTTTCTTTTGTTGGAGAATGGTTAAAGTTAAAAGTTAATGCATTTATTTATTTATTTTTTTTTGTATTTTTAAATTATTTAATGACGGGATAAAAATTATAATGATAGAATCCAAAGAAGGCACTTTCGCATTGTAAGATGTTTTATAACGGAAAAAAAACTTGATATCGTACCACCATTAGTGTTTTTACTACAGTATTTTATATCTATCTATCTATCTATCTATCTATCTATCTATCTATCTATCTATCTATCTATCTATCTATCTATCTATCTATCTATCTATCTATAGAATCTGTTAAAGTTAATAAGAGTAATGGGGTCATGCTGTATAATTAAATTGAGTCTCTGATTTAAATTCAATCTTCTCCCATATAATTTTAGACATTCCTCATAGAAAGCCTCACAGCTGCTGTGTATTTCCTCACAGGTTCACATTCTTCCGCTCATAGATCTATACATTTACAATTCATTTCCATTTCCATCAAAAAAGCTGTAATAACTGTTCAGCTCAAATAACATTCATTACAGATGATTTTCCATTGTTTTACTATTCTAGTCTCTATTCTATCAATTCTAAAGCTTAAACTCTACAAAACCCAGAGTGAATAAATTACCAGAATATAAGTTTGTAACACTGTCCAATTAAATTGAAGTTCCACATTTTTGTCTTTTGCTGTAGCCTCATCTCCTACCGTAACTTCAGCAAAATGAATGCCTATTGTGCTGAAAACCTTTTAACAATCAATGTTTCTATAAAAGATGCTTTAGGTTTTCCAAATGTATGCATTTGTTCTCTAATAAGACTCAACTTACTGCTGATCAATTTATCAACAATAACCTGCACAAACTACAGCAGAGCCGGAACATTACCAGAACCAGACTTCAATAAACAGTATTTGAACACATATAAATATGCATTTTGATCTGTTAAAATCTGATATTTTGACTCTTTTTTTTAGAGTGTTACGGTAGATATCTTAAATTGTCATGCCTGGTCCGAAATTGAAGCTTTTAACTACTGCTTTAACTCCTACAACTGTCAACTAATTTTTGACAACTGTGAACCATGACTAACTACTCATTTAATCATTTCATAACAGCAGAAAAAGCTGAGCACTGATAACGTTATCAGGGAAAGGAAAAACCTAAATCTCCTAGTTTATATCAAAGTAACATCAAACTAGAATATTGAAGTGTTTTTTGTTTAAATCTGACAAAATATCAAAGGTAAATACTGAAAAAAACTTGAACTTTGATGCAATCTGTTTTCAAAATCTGAAATATTAGTCTGAATTTTATTCTTCTCTACCAAATTAGCCAAAAAAGGAACTTGCAACATAAACGTATGCATAAGATTCATAAAACCTTCTCAGAAATCTGTGTGGGCTTGAAAGAGCCTGAAGCCTGGATTTAATGCACACTTTTAGTTCCTCTGCAACATTAGATCCTGGAGTCCTGTACAGATATAATGATATACTGTTGTTGTGTCTTTGCCTGTCTAGGAGCGCTTGCTGCTGTCCCTGCTGCCTGCACACATAGCCAGAGTGATGAAAGCTGAAATCATCCAGCGGCTGCAGGGGCCGAACTTTGGTCGAACTGAGAGCACCAACAACTTTCATAACCTCTACGTGCAGAGGCACACCAACGTCAGGTACACCTCCATTTCCTTTATCTGTGCCTCCACATATAATAAAGGTTATTATTCTCTGCTCTCATCTTGGGGCTTGATTGCTCCATCCTGTCCTCCTCCTCATCGCTGCTCTTTTTTTGTCCGACCGTTCCCACCTGCTGTTAAATTTGGATTTCTCTTCTGTTTCTACTTTTCTCTGGCCTCCATTTCATTGCTTATCCTCCTTTTCTTTTCTGTCTAATTTTCTTCTCTCATGTTCTCACCACACTTTGTTTCATTGCCAGGGTGAAATTCAGTTGAGATTTAACCCACCTCCATTTTACTCTGAGTTCACTTCACCAAATAGAAAGGAGCTTTTGTCCTCGGTTCTCTATGGCATCCCTCTCTGCACTGTGAAGGTTTATCGTGGCAGAACAGAGGGCACTGATCTTGGCTCACAATGAGAGCAGCTCAATCCTGAGTCCCCAAAAAACCTGCTTTACGTCATCCTTGAGCTTTACTCCAGAAGCAGTATTTCTATCCAACTCTGGCCTCAGCTGGGTGTTTTGGGTGAATGCGAAGTGTCCTCCTCTTCATCTCGCTATTATATTTCCACTAATAACAAATTCTCCTATGGTCCTGCTCTAAGCCTTGGGGGGTGGAGAAGAGCCCACTTTCTTTTCAGAACAGAAACTAGACACTCAATGACATTTGAATGCTTAGTTTTACTGGAATCAGACTGCATATTTCCTATCTTATGATACGGTTCATATTCCTTTTCTTAATGTAATATATGCATATATACAGGCTTTACATCTGGATATCTATGTAATCACTGAGTACATCAAAAATGTTTTAAAGGGGTTTCCTAAAAACTGCAAAAGAAACAAAATAACACATCAGTAATATATAATAGTTCAAACATACATTAATAAAGGCTAATTTCTTCCTTTTTTTCCCTTTTGAATGTGGGCTTCTTGCACACAGCAATTTATTCATCTCATCCATCCATCTTCTCTGGTTTCATTCATCAGGGTCGACATGGGGCTGGTGCCTATCACCAGCAGTTTATGGGTGAAAGGCCGGGTAAACCATGAACAGGTCGCCGATTATATTCCCCTCGTTGTCTGAAATTGTAGAAAATATACACAATAATTAATGGTTCCAATATGAGTTCATAAAATTAAAATTTTTAGACTGTACTAATTGCCTGTAGTAGTTGCCAGCCAATATCCAGGTCTGCTAATTCTATTGCTAATCAAACCAGGCAGTTAAATCAGCAGTTTCAAAGAAAAGTAGTAACTTCTGCGTGGTTTCCAAACTTTTTTAAAGTCAGAGGGAAATCATATTTAAATTTCAAATCATTCTGGCTTAAACATGTATCTTACTGTACTCTTGTCTCAAAATGAAAAAACAAAAGTATTTTTTCGTTATCTTACGCAGGCCAGTTAGTTAGTACTGGCAATTTAGTACACCTAAATTCGGCCAATCAAATATCAGCGATCATCTGTCAATCAAATTTTTTCGGTCATAGCATCTTGATTCATATGTCGCAGCCTATATACGCAACAGTTGAAATAAGAAATAAGAATCATTTACTTTACCAATGAGTTCCCAGTGTTCACGGGGATAGACGTCTGTGTCTTTGGCAGGTGTAGGGTTAATAGAAATGGCAGCGTTGTGAGGCAAAGGCTGAAACATGTACGGCTGTAAGCCTTCTACACCAAACCAAGCTTCTGCCGCCCTGGCGTCCTCTTCCACAACATCTTCGTCCCCGCTTTCCTCCTCTAAATAAAATGTATGACGGAGGAGACTCATCCATGACCTCCGACACTAAACTCTCCTCCTCTTGCATGTTTCCGCTGTCCATACCGTTCCTTGACAGTGTCGTTTCTAAGTCACCAATTTAGTGCTACTTGGTCCCAATGGAATTTCCCATTGGGAACCTACTAGCACTAAGTTGCTAACTGGTTAGCAAGATGCTTCCGAGAAACCAGCTACAATCAAACTTGCTTGCAAACCTTCCGCCACAACAATTCCGGCCGTTTTGATAATCGACCAGTGATATTCACTTTATTCACTCGTGTAAAGTCGGACTACAACAAATAAGGTGCAGGCACCGTGCCAGGATTGAGAGTTACGTGACCAAAAAGTATGTTGTTTCTTGCTGTTTCTTCATATGTATACTTGTGCCTTCTAATGTGCTCGAAAAGCCTCATCAGCCTCAGCCCTAGTACTGTTCCATTTCACAAGAACAAAAACACTGAGAACAGACAAAGTCCCCGGAAGTTATTCTCGCCCCTCCCTCTTTACCCAGCATGCACCAGAGTAGACTTGTCCATTCTTGAGATTGACAGCTGCTCCAACATGCACTGCAGCAGCAACTTCCAGTGTAGTGCTCACAGAGATTAAGTTAAAAGATCTCTTTTCTGTCTCCGTTGTTCAATAAAAGTATGTTTTAAGATCATTTAAGGCAAGAACATTATACGTTTAAGCATCACTATATGGCCCACTTACTGATCTTGTGCGTAAAATCAGTAAAAGGACTGCGGCAACCAGCAGACCTCTGAGGGTAACAGCAGCCAGGGCTAACCGCAGCCCGTCTGCAGCGGCCCTTTCTCAGCATAGCCGTGTGTGAAATACTGCTGGCTCTGATGGCGATTTGTTTTATTTGGCAAAATGTTCATTTGGTTTTTGTTTACTGTGTTATTTATTATCCCCCCAGTAAATGAAAAAAGTAAGAATTTAGTATTATCTAGAGACTATTACAAGGACAGGAGGTGAAATGCAGCGCCAGATTAACCGAGCTTGTGGTGACATTATCAGTACGCTTCTGTTCCAGTTGACCCATATTAATGCTGCGTGCTCCTGTCCCCCCCAGTCCATACTTTCCTGTGTTCTGCTCAAGAACATACTCTGTAAGGACACGAGTTCAGACTCGCGCTCTTGTGAATTGAGAAACAGCCTTGTTCATCTGTCCAAACAGTTAGAGTACCATATAAAGTCCAGTATATAATCCCCACTCTGTATAGGGATAAAGGGATTATGGCGAATGTTTGGACACAGCCCATGTTACCAGTCAGCAACAGGTCGTCTTACTACTGTCTATGATTCCTACTGATACAGAATCCTTTAGTGTTGGTATAAGCATCACATCAGTAGTAAATATTTATATAAACTGGATACGTCTGAATTTATAAAATAATTACTTTCAGTAAAATTAATTTCTTTGTCTGCATCGTGCTAGACGTTCTGTGGTTGTTTTATTTTAGAAAAGTTATTTATTTTGATAAGATGTTGTAGATGCCCCCTTTAAAATAAAAAATCAAAAGCTAATATTGTGTTGGCTTTTACTTTACATTTCAACTCTAAACAAGGTGAGCATCAGCACTCCCTTCTCTCTAAAACAACTGTGCCAGCAGAATGATTTTCTATTAAATCATAGCAACAGTGAATGGAAGGAAATGAAAGTCTGAAATTTTACATATCAGTCCAGATTTTACTGCTGAAAAATGCAAATGTACTAAATAATATGGATGTCAAAACCATTATTTTTCCAACAAGATTGTTCATATTACTGAAGCTCTTTTTTCAATTATTTTCCCACATTTCCTTCACCACAAAGTCGCTTCAAACTAATGTTATAAATGCAAATTTTTTGATATCAGCAAGCAGGATACATGCTTGGAAACGTGGTTATTGGTGCATTTTAATCGAGTGACCACTAGACGAAAAATAAGACATTTTCCAACTTTAAATCCTTATGCTCAAAAGCAATAGCCACAGACAGATCCACTGCCTTGGTCAGCTATTTGCTTTTTTTAAAGCACCGTCTTTTTCTCACCCTTTAAGGTCAAGATTTGTTTTAAAATAATTTCGAGGAGATACAAACAAAGAAATTTCAGCAGGAAGATGATTTTCATTTACAAGGAGAAGCTTTTGTTGCAAGGACTCAACCAAAGTAATCCACATAATTTAGTTTTAGGCCACCAAGTAAAATAATAAAAGAGTCTAGTGACCATTCATGTGTCTTACAAAAGTGTTAACTGAATAGCTCTCTGTGGTTTCATGCTTTACATTTACAGAGCAACAACCAAAAGCATGTGATGAGTTGTTTCTATGTGTTTTCTGCAGCATACTCTACGCCGACATTGTGGGCTTCACACGGCTGGCCAGCGACTGCTCTCCTGGTGAACTTGTGCACATGCTGAATGAACTCTTTGGCAAATTTGACCAGATTGCAAAGGTAAGAAATATCAGTATGCATGCCTCTCTGTCTATTTATGCATTCACTGTAAAATGAATACAACTTAGATAAATATGCCTTTTTTGTTGTCGGTCTTTGTGCTTGTTAGGACTAAGGTGTAAAGAAAAGGAAAAATTTTAATGTAAGGGAGATGATTTCTCCTTTTCAGGCTTCACATACGATGGTGGAGAGGTGCAAACGCGCTGCAAATACATAAATGCACTGCAAATACAAAGGCGTACTGCAAACAAAAATTATACTTTCATGCAAAAGACGTGAAAAGGAGAAATACTCTAAAAGAATAATGATGCGATCACAGTAAAAATGAGGGAGGAAAAGTTAATATAATTTGTGGACAAGCTATACTTGATTTATGCTAACACAAAAACATACAAAACACGTGCAAAGAAAAAATGCTACAAGTCACAATAATATGCACATTAAAAAAAGCTCCAAAGTAGCTCTGCATAACAGAGGTTCTTCAGGCCACTAGGGGGAGTCGACGATAAACTGGGTTCCCCACGATAGCGTAATGAATGACTACAACGTTGTAGCTAAATAATATAAATATATGCTCTGCAGAAGAACCTAAAATAAAACAAAATCAAAGCCAAACTTTAGCTACATCTAAAGTCATTGAGAACGAAAAGTGAACTGTAAGCACTGATATGATAGGCAGCTCTGAGTTATTTAAAGGGACAGTGTGTCTCATATTTACCTCCATCGATTGGGGCACTGAATGAATTAGATAAATTGTACAGACGCCCTTTATTGCAACAGAACAACAGGCTTTCAGGTAAAGAGAAAATGCTTAAGCTAACAAGTTTGTCCCTTTTCAGCCACTCTGATAAAAATGTGGAAGCATCATGGCGTCTCCCATTGGGTGCACCGTCCCTTATGTATTTTTTAGCTATTAATTCTAAATTAAGAGAACACCTTAATTTGGATTTTATGTTATTAGACATTGGCAGATTAATATGTTTAATTTAACATGACTTAATTTTTGCCAATAAAAACCACATTTGTTGCACACCCACCATTTAATTTTCACGTCTAAATTGGACTGAAACAGTAACCCTCACAGGTACTAAGAAAAAATAAGCATATATACCGGTTTATCTTTTTAATTTTAGATCATGCTGCTTAAACGATTAAATTATTGTCAATGGATTTAACCTTTTAACTGTTCAAAGGTTAATAAAAAAATACATATTTGTTTATTTTCCTGATTGCAATGTACCTAAAAATTACCAAACCATGTTTTAAAATCCATAATACATACTTTTGTGTACCTTTATACGCCTAGCTAATGCAAATTTGGATTCAAGACCTTTTTAAGGTTTTGGTAAAATAAACTCAAATGCATCATCATTTTTATTTTAGATTCAATACAATATTGAGAAAATAATAAATTTATTAACATAAAGAGACTCCATAAACCTGCCTGTATCTAAAGCTCTCTGCTTTTTTTCCACAGGATTTAATTCAGATCTAATGGGAAAATAATCAACAGTTGAATGTTTTATTGCTCAGTCCACAAGCGACTCCTCGACAATGCAATTTGCAGTTTAAATTAATTGATTTATTTAGGCTATTATTTAATTTCATAGTCCTTGTTTTATCCTGTTATGGCTGGGATGGGGTCTCGGCTTTCACGCTGGTAGATGTGCAGTAAAATTCAGGAGCAGTTGGCTTTAATCAGAATAAATCACTTTATCTGGAGTGGATTGGAGTGATACTAAAGCAGCCAATACAACACTTTCCATTTCTGCTTTGTCAGTTTGACTCCATCCAGTGGAGGCCTCACTCTCATCCAGTGTTTGAGTCTTCCATGCATGCAGGATGCCAACAATGACTGAGCCACCTACTGTAGGTGCCCAGCAATAAAACCTTCAACTGTTGAGTCAGGCTTTCTGAGCTTTGTGTCCAGCAGAGATCACCTCCTAATGCTGCAGTTACATAAAAAAAAATAATAATAAACAGTGAGCTGTTACTCATCCCACATGTGGAATAAGAGCTAATATATTTTATGTGTGGGTGTACGATTTTTAGGCTTGATGGATCTGATTCTGAGGGTGTGAGTGTTGAGGTGAAAGTAAATAAAAAATATGAATCAATAATAACATGTGATCAAGGAGCTCTGCGTGGATCTGCTTCACCTCCTCCCCTTCTCATTCGTTCTTTAAGGAGAACGAATGCATGCGGATCAAGATCCTGGGCGACTGTTATTACTGCGTGTCCGGACTTCCTGAGTCGCTGCCAAACCACGCCAGGAACTGCGTGAAGATGGGCCTGGATATGTGTGAGGCCATCAAGTAAAACACCAGACCCCCCCTCCCAACCCCACCCCCCCCTCACTCTTCTCTTCCTCCTCCGGCACAAACAAACACACGCCTGTTAAACAGATTGAGCAGAAGGAATGCCTGATTAAATTCCAGCTCTGTTTAAACTCCAGAGTAAACACAGGGTGAATTCAATATGATAAGCTTCCCAACTGCTCCCATAGAAAAAAAAATCCAACAAATGAATACATATCATGGTTTAGGTTTGTTATTTTCCTTTTCTTTTTCTTGTTCTCCATCGCTCTCACTCATGCATGAAGATTTCTATCTGACAGACAATGCCTCGGTTTGCTAGCGCTGACCTTTAATCACTGTAGTCAGCAATTATGCCACAATTACAAAGCAGTTTGTGGATTTTAGTCAATTATCCAACTGATTTTAATTAGCTTGTGGACTTAACTGTTCCTGTTTGGGGTCTACTTTGGTGTGTGTGGTTCATTTTTATTTTATTCTTATCAAAAGCACAATGCCCTAAAAAATGGTTTACATTTTAGACTTTAAAACACTTTGTCACAGCCACTCACTCCAATCGAATTTATCTGGGTTCTATTTGCCAGACCAGATTTTTCTTACAATTCCTAACAAATCTGAACCATATTAGATATTCCAGAACACAGGATCTGGTCTTAACAGTCAGGGGTCACCGCCCTGCATCAAATAATTGCAGGGATTTCTAACCAGAAGTTAGTTAAATCTTCTCAGTTTTGTAATCTTGTTCTTGTTAATTTATGTAAATTTAACCATAGCTTAGTTCAAATCTTCTCTGTAACAGGAAGCTCACTCACACCAGGAAAACAGCAAATCCCCAGAGACTCTAACACGATGCTATGCTGACAATTTGATGACACATTTCTTGTATCTTTCTTGTCTAACTTTGTATAAATGTTGTCCTTATTTCAACACAGTGGAAGTAACTAATTAGTAAACTAAGAAATTTCTTGGTGTGGATTTCTTGTTTGCATTGGGTATATGGCGGTGAATTGGTTCACCAGATTAGTCCCTGTCTTTTCAGCTTTGTTTGTGTATTTAAAGTTGTTTTCTTGCTGGAAGGTGACGTTCATCAATCGCTGCAGGCTTACAGTTAATCATTAGGACCTTCAACAGGTTTCTTTTACTGCCCCTGATTTAGCTTCATCCACCAGCTGTGACTGTGCAGCTGAAGAAAATGTTCCCCACAGCATGCTACTACCACCACCATATTTTAAAGTAGGAATGGCGTGTATAGTGATTTTTCTTATTAATTAAAAACCTTTTGGATGCTTCCATTGCTTCGGACCAGAGCACCTTCTTCCTCGTTCCCCACCTGTGTTCGGGGTCTCTGCAGCACCTCCAGATCCTCCGTGGGTCTCTGCGCCGCTTCTATAGTCAATGTTTTCTTGTTGGTTTCGGTGGGTTAGCACATCTTGTCAGGTTTGCCAGTGTGTCTTAGTTTTTTCTTTGGTCAGATGATGGATTGAACAGAACTCTGGGTTTTGTTCAAAAATAAGAACATTGGTCTAGACCTTAAATGTGCTGTAAGCTTTTCTACAACTCTGGATAAAGGATATCCGGTCTGATCCTTTGTCTACGTATAGTGCTTTCTCTTTACCAATGCTCTCCAACAAATTTTTGAGGCCTTCACGAACAGCTGTCAGGTTGTGTGGAGATTTAAAGAGGAGGACCCAAATGCAGAGACTGAAGCTGAAGGTGGTTTCTTGCAGATTTAATATAAAAAGGTGGCAACAGAAGCAAAAATAACAAAATGCTGAAATCCAGGAAAAGTCACAAGAAGGGCAAAGAAATGATGACAAAGAGGAACCAGCAAAGAGTGACTGAACAGGAGGAGTATATATGGGAGAGAGAAACAAAGAGCTAATAAGCAGATTGGTAGCAGGTGTGGACTGAAGAATCTAGAAGGGAGCTAGAAGAAGGAGACTGACACAAGAGGGCAGCAGAGGGCAAAAAAGAAATATATAAGAACTCAAATACAATCAAAAATCACTAGAACAATACAACATGGAAATAAAACCAATGAAAGATAAAGGATAAAACTTGAACAGAAACAAAACCATGACAACAGCTGCTTTTATACAGACATCAAACGGCGCTGTTTTGTCATTTTTTTGTTCTTTTTACTTTACAATCATCTACCACTTTCTGTTGTGAGTGTCAGATCAATTTGTTGAAGTCTGTGGTTGTAACAAACCAAAGAGGGTTTATAAGCACTTCTGTAAGGCATTATAAGCCTTTCCTTCATGTCTGTGCCACACATTCGGTGGATCTTCTCCTCCAGGAAACAGACGTCCGTTTCTGCTCTGCCCCCGTCCGCAGGAAGGTCCGAGATGCCACTGGAGTGGACATCAACATGCGCGTCGGCGTTCATTCTGGGAACGTCCTCTGCGGTGTGATTGGCCTCCGCAAGTGGCAGTACGACGTGTGGTCGCACGACGTCACGCTGGCCAATCACATGGAAGCCGGAGGAGTGCCGGGGTGAGATCCTTTAAAGGATGAAGCAATTTCAAAGTAGTGTTTATTTGCAATTATTGTGCATGCAGCTCACCTTCCCCATTACCTGATTCCCTCAAGGCCACACTTATTTTCAATGGGACTTGGAACATGAGACAAGTCTATTATAATTATACCTATTATAGCATTTTAGTAAATTATAGCTACCTCAGTTGACTAAGCAGCTCTGCATTAGTTATGTTGCCATTATGTCTGCCTGGCTAGCACTGTAACAAGCTTGTGAAAATTGGCCAGGGGGGTAGATTTATGCTGCTCTGAAAATAAGCTCTCTAGTACCACAGTGTTGTCTCACTGGGCTGCTAATGGTTTGTCTCCTGCTACGCCTGCTAAGAGGTATTTGAAAAAAATAATAATAATGACCACATCGGCTGAAAAAGTAAAAAAATGTATTTCCATCTCCTTCAGTCTGCTTTGCAAGGGTAACAAATAGAGATGAAAAGGGAGAACTGCAGGCGGCAGTGGTTAGAAAGCCGGCGAGCAAATAATGTGTTTTTATATAGCTGTCAACAGTGCAGTGACGTAAGAACTTCACCTCTCATTATCTGTCCACTTATTCATCTCCAGGAGGGTTCACATCTCCTCGGTGACGCTGGAGCATTTGAAAGGCTCATATAAGGTGGAGCCTGGAGATGGACAGAGCAGAGATTCCTACCTGAAGGAACATAATGTGGTCACCTACTTGGTCATCAACCCCAAGGTGAGATCCCAACACGCGGATCCACTTAATAAGAAACGCAGCTACAGATCCATGGCTGAATGCCTGAAATTATCTCAATTAAGTTCAATAAAAGCGTCTAATTATGTACAGCCCTGTGGGAAAGTATCTGCCTTCTTATTGATAATCTTCTGTTTTGTTTTTTTGTCACACTTTATTGTTTCAGATAATAAAGCTAATGCAGTTTTTAAACAATGATTTCAATTGTGAAGGGATGACTTGATCATTTCATTACAGGGGAACAAATCTTAATTTTATCATGGTAGTGTTCGCTAATTAACGATAAAACAACTGAGGCTGGGGGGATTTTTTGGTGGCTAACACCAATAGGAAAAGATTGTAGCATTATAAACACATGTGGGTTTTTTTCCTGACTCACTAACACATTGTAGAGCATATGAGAGATATGTTAGGAAAATAATGGAATATTCTTCACAAATTGAAATCTAAAAATATTTTCAATCTTTATTTAGGTTCCTTGAGTCAGCACTCTTGCAGGTTTTCTTTCAAGAGAACCATTTGTTAACTATTAACTTCTTGGTGTGATGAACTATGACCAGTTTTCTTGCAGACCCACAGCATGACAACACACAGTCATGTTTGAGCATGGATAGGCGAAATATAGAAAACAAACAAAAAGTGCAACTTTATTGCTATAATAACAAAAGTGAACATATTAATTAAAAACACCTAAAAAAATGTTTATTCTCTACATCAGATCTCTGCTTATTTTCAGAGTCCAACAAATACAGCAGATAAATAAAATGCATCCATTATCTAAGTGGCTACTTTAATACATTAGCTAAAAGTATTTTTGCTAATGCACCGGTAAGCAATGCTCTATAAGTTCAGTAAATCTTGGTCTCAAATATTTTATGATATTAATAAACCATACAGACAGTTGGAACAGAAAAATAACCAATCCCAAGCATGCCATCATAAATGCCATCAGCTATTACAGTAAAGAATAGCAGTTTCAGTTTATTTTATTTACACAGCACCACCTTATTACACATGTCATCTAAACAGAGACACTAGAGTCAGATTGGACAAAAGTTTCTATCCAGAAAAACCTGCTGATTGCATCGAGTCATAAACTTGCAATACGTGCTCCTCCTGGAGGAGCCTACAGCAACGATTTTCCCTTGCATATTATTGTTAACTGTTCAGTAATCCCTCACACCAAGTAAGCATGCAGCAACAATCATCAGCAAAAACCTCCCTTTTAACAGGAATAACCGTCTAGTAGAACCACTGCAGTGGAAGCAGCCTTCTGCTGACTCGGGGTTCAAGGAGATAGAAGCAGACATACGCAAAGAAGCGGATATACGACAGGTTACTAGCTCCACAGGTGGCCTCTTCCAGGAAAGACACAGTCAGGCAGATGAGCTCCAAGCCAGTTCCCATGTCAAAGGATAAACGAAACCACATAGTTAGTCACAGTAAAATAACAGGACTATTCTGAAAAAAAAGGCCAAGCTACGATATCTATAAGCAAAGGTGTTGATGACAGCAGCCCGGCTAATATTTCAATCTTGGTTGGATTCACAGTCAAATAGGAACAGACCAGATGAAGCTACTAGGGTGAGAGAAAGCAGAAAGAACATTAAGTTATAGGTGGAACTAACAAATAACTCAGAGTGGTAGAATCAGAGATGGCAAAAGTACTCACCTTCCGTACTTGAGTAAAAGTACAGATACTTGTGTTAAAAAATACT